ATAAAAGACGACAAATGCAAAATTTACAAGGGAAATCTGCATCATCAATTCAGTGTGATTTGACCTGCACATATATATAGATTGAAATGATTCTTTTGCGACAGAAGGGAAAGAACACCCATCTAAGAGAGACATGTATTAAAATATTTAACTCAATAATCTTATAGCTAACTGTTCCATCTATTCAATTTTTACTTCAATTCACCACTGTTAATAGTGGAGGACCTAGGGGGCAAGTGCCCCACTTCCGACCCCGAAATTTAGAATTAGTACTTATGATATAATCGGTGTCCTCGCGTGTTGATATAAAATAATGACTGTTAGATATGTAACAATTCTGTCAAAGAGCATATGCAAATTGTTATAAAACATTTAAACGACTATGGAGTTATGATGAAGCGATTTCATACAATTAGACATGTTCTTGACACGGTCATTCTTTGAAAAGTGGCATTGGTGGTTATTTTTTTGTGAAGTAAGAATTATCTTTTTCCAAACTTAGAAGTCAATGATATGATGAGACTTCTAATATGTGTGATGCGCTTAATGGATTTAAGATTATCTTCAATGAAATTCCATACACAAGATATATCCATTGTTTTCTTACCTATTACAATTAGTTGTTGTGGCTATTGCAAAAAGAAGAAGTTTGTGGATTCTTCCAACAAAAATAACATGAGATCATAAGAGAGTTATTAGAAAAGAATGTGGTAGTAACAAACGGGAGATGATTGAATCAATAAATTAAAGTAGTTTAGCTCAGCATTACATGTTAATGTTCAAAATTTAATCCCAAGTTGATGAAGGAATTTTGGGCACTGTAATTTTGTGACACGACGTGTAACGTTGGGCACTATCCTAGTTCTAAATCAAAATTCTGATTGTTTGTAATACAAAAACAACTTGAATTCTAATCCAAAACAAGAAATGGTGCCAGGATGATTCAATTCCAATTCATATGAGGTATTATGTATTTCTTTCAAGAAATTGAATATTATTGTTTAGAATTATTTTAATGGGTTGAAATTGAATAACTTTTTTTTGTTTAAAAAAATTGTCTACACATTGAATAGATTAGTCTGACACCCGACCCGACCCATCTTTGTCCATACAGTAGTACCCCCGCTTGAGAAAAGTTCTAGGTCCGCCACTGACCATTAATATATTTAGAGGTTTAATCCTAAAATATTAGGTAGTAGTAATAAAATATTTGTGGAAAATGTGAATATAATTTATTGTGAATATAATTTAGAGTTTTATACTCACTTTTATGTAACATTTAAATACAATTATAGTTACTAAAATTATTAGGGTCACATTTTTTGCCACTACTTTTACTGTAGTTATATATTTGGAATTATTTCATATATTTATCTAGCAAGTTTTGCTTAATTAAAGGCTTCCTTCTTAATTAACTTTGTTGTTAATTTATACCTAATTTTGGAAAAAATAACAGAAAGATGTAAAAATTATTTTAACAATGAGATCTTAATATTAACACTTGGATATACTTAATAAAAAATTTGATCATAAATATCTCTAGCAAATGAAACTTCTTGCGTTTATTTTATTAAATTAAATCATATATATGCAATATTAAAGATCATAAAAATGTATGGATCTATATGGCAAGTCTCCTAAATATCAATCTACATTTGGTAGTAACTATTACGGACATTTTTAATTACATTGATTTTTTGTCTTATCTATTTAAGTATTGTCTCGTCTGATTTGGTAAATGTCTGCATTATTTTGGCCATATCATTTATGTACTCCCTCCGTCCCATTAGAAGATTTCCACTTTCCTTTTTTGGACGTCCCGTTAGAAGGTTCCCATTTCCATTTTAAGAAACAATTAACAATCTTAAGTGACAAATTAATCATTAAATACTAAAAATTATACATTTATAACATCACAATTATCAATACTAACTACATTATAATATATACATATTAAAATTATTTCTCAAAATATACTCGAAGTACTTTATTTAATTATTGCCTAAATAACCGTGCCGTTTTGCTATGGGAACCTTCCAACGGGACGGAGATAGTATTAAATAGCAATTATGCCATGCACACAAATATGCCTAAGTTTGCCTAAATTAAATCACCTAAGAAAAGGATTTTTTTGGGTAAAATTGACAAAAGGTTTAGGCCCTAGTTAACTGTCTAACCGATGCTAGGGGCACTTAGGAATGAGGTGTCATCTTTTTTTGTAAAAAGTTTAGGCTAGAGAAAGATACACCCCAAAATTGGCCGCAAAAGAACTGAACTTGGTGATGCAAGCAAAAATTATCTCAGGCAACAAAGAAGCTCGATGGTCAGGTGTTCTTACGGACATGAGCAAAGTGGCAGTTAGGAATAGGGAGGGGTGGGATTGGTCCGGACTAGGTCGGATTTTTGCTCTACCCAGAAATTACCTAAAACTTTTCGGTTTATGAAAAATTCGGACCGGAAAAAAAGCCCACATATTCGGTCCGAGGTGGGTTTTTTGAGGCTCGGGTTTGGTCCGAGTTCGGGTACGATCGGTTAAAGCCCAATAAAAAAATATCATTGTTTTTATTAAAAAAAGTATTCTAAAAAATGTTTGATAATCAATCAAATCGATTCAACTTTCACACCTTCTATTATAGTTAATAAAGCAAAAGTATTAATGGGAAGGAGATTAATGGGAATCACAAATTGCGTAAAAATCAATTCAAAAGCATCATCATACGAAGCTTATAACAAAATGTCATCCAAGACTCCAAGTATTCCAAAATCAATTATGTTCATTAAGTTGTGAAGATTTCATTGCTAAAATACTTTAATGGATGATGAAGCTTGAACACAAGAAAAATCGAAGAAGCTGCGTAACCAATTCACCAGATTGTATGAGAAGAAACTAAGCGGAGAAACCAAAGAAGAGAAGTAGGTTTTGTAGGTTGATTACTCCTTGAAAACATGAAAGATCCATAAATTTACCTCTTCGGAATTCTAAATGGCATCACATTTTGTCCTTTAGACTTCTGAGTTCTCTTTCCGATTCTCAATCGGCTAATGAAGATGTCGAGACTGTTGGTAGCGCTGGCTTTCAGGTTATATTATTTCATATACTTCATTTTTTATAATAAATTATAATAAAATATTCGGGCCGGGTTTTGGCCTGTCCGGTCCGGTTTGTAATTTTTAGGGATCGGATTTGGGCCCAAAATTTCGGGGTCGGTCCGGATTTTTTTAACCGGCCCGTCAAAAATAAAAAAACCCGGCCTAGTAACATTTTTTGGTCCGAGCCCGGATCGATTTTTTTAACAACGCATTATTTAGCTGGTTTGGGCCTGACCCGCTTTACTCAATTCCATCAGGTACATTCTTTGCCTCATTTGGCTAAAAAAGCATTTTATTGTTGATTATTTTGGTATTCCTGATTATCGATGTACTTAAATTGGGTAAGGTCTAGTCCCCCCGACTAAGTTGTTTTTATTTCAGTCTTGTGTTGTATTTGGAGAAGGTAAGCCTTCTCGAGACAGGTTTTGGTCTAGCCCCCCTCTTCACATGTATTTTATTTAATTATGGTAAATGTTCCCCGGCATTTGCCCCGCCAATTTTGGTGGTTTACCTACCGAGTTAAAAAAAAGATACGCAAGCAGAAATCTTAGGGCATGTTTACTAATAGAAATATTCTCCAACTTTCTTTTCTATTTTCCGTTCGCCAATTCTCTGTTTTGATTTTATAGTTTTCGTTTTTCAATTGTTCCATTTTCAAATCAAAAAGCATATTCATCAAATTTTTTCACCCTATTATGGGGCCGACATGATAACCGTAAGTACGGTGCTGGTTCGGAATTGGACCTGGTACAATCCAAATAGGGTATCCGGTTCCGGGTATAGGAAAGTTGGGACTGAAACCGGTCAGTCCCAGTCGATCCGAGGGGTTATCGACCAGACCGGATCAGGATCGCCTGGTGTTGACCACATTGAACATGGACAATCGGATCGTCAATCGAACAAGATCATGATCGCTCGCTCATTGATCAGACTAAGGCTGTTAACGAACCAAGCTTTTATCGAACTATTCGAGTTTGAGCTGGTTTCGAACCTAACGAGCCGAGCTTAACGAGTTTTTGAACTCGAACCCGAGCTGAGTTTTAAGTTCAAAAACTTAATCGAGCCGAGCTCGAACATAGTAGTATTCGGCTCGGTTTGAACTTGAGCCTATCGAACACCTGAAATTATAAATATAATTTATATATATTTCAAAATTTAAATATAATTAGTATAATTTTATGAATTTAAATAAGATTATTAACGAACCGAATACTTGTCGAATCATTCGAGCATGAACCTATTAACGAGCATCACCTAAGTTTTTTAATTCGAGCATATTTATCGAGTTTATCGAGCGCATGTTTCGACCATCGAACACCTATCGAGCCAAACACGAGCCTCATTTGTAAAGCTCGACTAGCTTTGACCTCGAACCCGAACACCACTAATTCCTTATCGAGCCGAACTCGAGATTTGGGTGTTCGGGCTCGGTTCGGCTCGTTAACAGCCCTAGATCAAACCAGACAGGGATTGTCAGGTCATCGACCAGATCGGACCAAGGACCGCCCGGTCATCGATCGGACTAGACCATAACCGAGTTAGAGCGGGACTAGATGCTCGGACCAGAGCGACAACAGATCCACCACTACGCATAAGTAGGCAAATCTTTGCAACAACACTGCAACTTCTGCACGTTTCAAATTTGGAAAACTAATACATGTCACTTCTCTAACTCATTAAAGAAAATAATTTGATAAATGCATTTTTCTGTTTTTCCCTTTCTCAAGTGTTCCAATAAATTTTTTAGATAAACATGCTTTCCAATTTTTCAACTTTTCAAAAAATTAGAAGATATTTATGTTACTCTAATAAACAGACCTTTAACTCTCGGGCCACCTTTTCATAAATAGGAATAGTACTCCCTACTACGTAGTCAATAAATCAAATCAGAATAAATGAAAGATACGAACCGCAATTAGAGCATATGTGATTTGCTGCCGGAGCTCCACACTTGTAGCAGAAGGCACATCCACACCTATTAATATAATCATAACATACTCCGTAATATATAGGCTTTTTTTACAAGAATATTACTAAAATAAAACATATTTACATAAATATGACTATTTATTACTACAATATGGTGTTATGGTAACTTAAGCTCAAAACTTGAACATGAATTGCTATGATTTCATTACTACTCTAGTCATTAGTCATATACTCTAGTCATGCTATGTAAATCATCTTTATTAGCGTCAGTAATTATTTCTAATATATACGAGTAACAATACAATACAATACAATACAATACAATACAATACAATACAATACAATACAATACAATACAATACAATACAATTAGCAAAAAAAATAACAACATATAAGACATTAAATCTCCATGGCTCGAAAGGGAGAACATAAGTGTTGAAAATTAAACTTGTTTTTGGCTCTAATTAATATTTAGTTTTAGTTGTTGTTGGGAAGACCTAAGAGATAAAAAAATGTAGAAGGAATAAATTCTAGAGCTTCTCTAGAAGATATGGTCTCTAGAACTCTCCTATCATTAATCGTATTTGTCTAGAATGCATTACTTATAGAAGAGTCTAGACACTTTTGTACTAGTATAAATAGAGCTCCCCTACCATCAAATTGAGTTGTTCTAATAAAAAGAGTTCTTCCACTTTGTTTAAATTTCTCTTCCATAATATTTCTAATTTAGCCTCCCAATTTCCCCAATCTTCCTTCACTTATTTCCAACAGTGATATCAGAGACGTTCGGTCATCACCCAAAAATGGCCGGTTCTCTTCAAGTTCCACCATTAAAAAGGAGAATTATGATAATTGGAGCATTCACATGATGGCAATATTTGGATCAGAAGATGTGTGGGACATGGTAGAGGAAGGCTTTGATGAACCCGAGGACATCAACACCTTAAATCAAAATCAAAAGAATGCCTTGAGGAGTACTAAGAAGAAAGATCAAAAGGCGCTCTCTATCATCCATCAAGCTTTGGATTAAGTCATGTTCGCAAAGGTGGCATGTGCAACTACAAGCAAAGAAACATGGGAGATATTAGAGAATTCATTCAAAGGAGTAGATAAGGTCAAGAAAGTAAAACTTCAAAGTCTTCGAGGTGAGTTTGAATGTTTAAACATTAACTCTTCGGAATCTATTGACGACTTTCTCAAGAGTTCAAACCATCTTGAATCAACTAAGAAGATATGGAGAAGAATCCAAAGACAATCGTGTGGTTGAAAAAATTCTACGGTCTTTAGATTCAAAATTCGATTACATAGTTGTGGCAATAGAAAAATCTACAAATCTAGAAACAATGACTGTTGATAATCTCTTGGGATCTCTTCAAGCTCATGAAGAAAAACTCAAGAAGAGAATAAAGCAAGAGCCACTGGAGCAAGCCCTTCAAACCAATCTCACCTGAAAAAATAAAGAGATTTTCCAAGAGGGAAGATGTCAAAGTTCAAGAGGGCGCAGTCGAAGCCAAGGCCATGGAAGAGGAGGTTATAAGACTTTCAAAAAAAAGAAGAGAGAAATCCACATTTCTATCCATCAAGAGGCCGTGGAAGAGGAGGTATTTCAAGTTCAATGTTACAATTGTCAAAAATTTGGTCATTTTGCCTCCGACTGTAGATTGGCAAAAAATAAAGTTGAGGAGTGAACGAATCTTGCCAAAGAAGAAGAAGAAAATTCAACATTGTTGATGGCCCATAAAGGAGGAGAAAGTGACACCAAAACGACATGGTACTTAGATATGGGAGCAAGCAACCACATATGCAGAAAGAAAGATATGTTTGTCGAGCTTGATGAATCGGTAAGTGGAAATATCTACTTTGGAGATGAATAAAAAATCCCAGTAAAAGGAAAGGGGAAAATTTTAATCCGATTAAAAAATGGAAAAAATGATTTCATCTCTAATGTCTACTATGTGCCCAACATGAAATCAAACATTTTAAGTTTGGGGTAACTTTTAGAAAAGGGATATGACATTCATATGAAAAATCACACCCTTTTGATGAGAGATAAAAACGGGGGTTTGGTTGCTAAAGTACCAATGTCAAGAAATAGAATGTTTTCATTAAACATTGAAAATGGGGGTCCAAAATGTTTGAAAGCATGTTTTAAAAATTCATCTTGGATTTGGCACTTGAGATTTGGGCATCTTAATTTTGGAGGTTTAAAATTGTTGAGTGATAAAGGTATGATGAAAGGTTTGCCCAAAATCAATGAAGCTAATCAATTGTGTGAAGGGTGTTTATTTGGAAAGCGACCAAGAAATAGTTTTTCAAAGAAAACATCTACAAGAGCAAAACAACCGTTAGAGCTTGTACACACGGATATTTGCGGGCCAATTAAACCATGCTCTATCAGAAATAGTAACTTTTTTGCTCTTTTCATTGACGATTTAGTCGAAAAACTTGGGTTTATTTTCTAAAACATAAGTCCGACGTTTTTGGGGCTTTCAAGAAATTCAAAGCTATTGTTGAAAATAAAATCCGTGAGATCCGACCATGGGGGGAATTCACTTCAAAGGAGTTTGAAAATTTTGTGAAGACAATGGTATTTATCGTCCCTTAACGGTTCCATATACTCCACCACAAAATGGTGTTGTTGAAAGAAAAAAACGGTCTCTACTTAACATGGTTCGAAACATGCTCAAGACAAAAAATATTCCAAATAAATTTTGGGCCGAAGCCGTAGATTGTGCGGTTTATTTGTCAAACCTATCTCCTTCTAGAAGCATGGAGTGGAAGAAAGCCCGAAATTTCTCATTTGAAAGTTTTTGGGAGCATTGCTTATGCTCTTGCGCCGGATAAAAAAAGGAGCAAGTTGGATGACAAATGTGAGAAGTTTATTTTTATTGGCTACGATGCAAGAGCAAAAGGGTACAAGCTTTACAACCCAAGCAATGGAAAAATCGTGATTAGCCAAGCAAGATGTTGAGTTTGATGAAGAAAGCACTTGGGATTGGACTCATAAAGAAGAAGAGTACAATTTCTTGCTTTACTACAATGAAGAAGAAGAGGAAGAAGAAGAGGAAGAACAAGACATAGCCCATGAAGAGCCCATGAGTCCAACTCCACCATCACCGGAGCAAGAAAGATCCACAAGTGAAAATCATTCAAATGAAAGGCCGCTTCGTTTAAGGAGCATACAAGAGTTATATGAGGTAACCAAAAATATAAATGATCTAACATTGTTTTGTCTTCTTGCCGATTGTGAACCAATAGGTTTTGAAGAAGCGACTAACAACAAGAATTGGAGGGAAGACGTGGATGAATAAATGAAGGCCATCATAAAAAATGACACGTGGGAATTGGTCACCTTACCCAAAGGGCACAAAGCAATTGGTGCAAAATGGGTGTTTAAAGAAAAGAAGAATGCAATGGGGAAAGTTGAAAGGTACAAAGCAAGATTGGTTGCGAAAGGGTACAACCAAAGAGTCGGCATCGACTATGAAGAGGTATTTGCTCCCGTTGCCCGTTTGGAAACTATATGATTTTTAATTTCCTTGGCAGCTCAAAATAAATGGAAAAGTTTCCAAATGTATGTGAAATCCGCATTTTTAAATGGGAAGTTAGAAGAAGAAGTTTATGGTTTGAAGCAAGCCCCAAGAGCTTGGAATACAAGTAAATAATTTCATAAAATGTCCCCATGAACTTGCTCTTTATGTCAAAAAGGAAGGAAATGGAGATATCTTGATTTTTTGTCTTTCTGTTGATGATCTAATATTCACGGGAAATAATCCCAATTTATTTGAGAACTTCAAAAAGGCAATGAATCAAGAATTTGAAATGAGGTAAAACAAAGTGAAAGTGAAATTTTTATCTATCAAGAAGGGTATGCAAAGAAAATCTTGAAAAAGTTTAAAATGGATGATTGTAATCCAATCAATACACCGGTGAATTGTGGGGTAAAATTATCCAAGTTTGGTGATGAGGAAAATGTGGAACTCACAATGTTCAAGAGCTTAGTTGGGGAGCTTACGATACTTGACTTGTACAAGGCCTGACATTTTGTACGAAGTTGGTCTCATTAGCCGGTATATGGAAGATCCAAAAACCTCTCATTGGAAGGCCGCCAAGAGAATTCTTCGCTACATCAACGGTACTCTTAACTTTGGCTTGTTTTACAATTCTTGTAAAGATTTCAAGCTTGTTGGCTATAGTGATGGTGGTTGGTCCGGAGACATTGATGATCGTAAGAGTACCACCAGATTTGTCTTTCTTTTGGGTAATACAGCTTTTACTTGGAGTTCAAAGAAGCAACCCATTGTGACCCTCTCCATGTGACCCTCTCCATATGTTGCTGTCAATTCATGTGTTTGTCATGCTATATGGCTTCGAAATCTATTCAAGGAAATAGGCATGACACATAACATTGGGAAAGAATCCAATATTCCATGACCGTAGCAAGCACATTGATACACGATATCACTACATTCGAGAATGCATTGAAAGAAAAGAGGTTGAAGTAAGGATGTAAGGTCCCATGATCAAATCACTGACATTTTCACCAAGCCGTTCAAGCACGAAGATTTTCGAAGGTTGAGGACCATGCTCGGAGTTACAAAAACAAATTTAAGGGGGATGTTGAAAATTAAACTTATTTTGGGGCCTAATTAATATTTAGTTTTAGTTGTTGGTGGGAAGGCCCAAGTGATAGAAACATGTAGAAGGAATAAATTTTAGATCTTCTCTAGACGATATGGTCTCTAGAACTCTCCTATCATTAATTGTATAGAATTGTCTAGAATGCATTAATTATAGAAGAGTCTAGACAGTACTTTTGTACTAGTATAAATAGAGCTCCCCTACCACCACTTTGTATCAAGCAAGTCAAGCAAATTGAGTTGTTCTAATAAAAAGAATTCTTCCCCTTTGTTCAAATATCTCTTCCATGATATTTCTAATTGAGCCTCCCAATTTCCCAAATCTTCCTTCACTCATTTCCAACAATAAGTAGCATTTATTTTGTATCACCAAATAGAGTTACAAACACAAATACATCCGGACAAA